TAGGATGGTGGCTACTTACATACATACGGTGTGTGAAATGAAAAACACCATGAAGTTTAGCTTCAGCCATGGTGATGCTAAACCAAACAACGAAGAGATTGTAAATTTCGCCAAAGCACTCGACGCGGATCCGGCTGAAATGGAAGCTGTTTATCGCATTGGTGAGGAAAGGGCAGTCTTCATGAAGTTCAAATCAGAGGAAGCGATGCTCCATGCTCTGACATACTATTCGGAGGGTTTAATCAACCGGTGAACACTCGTGTTTATTTCAGTTACCGTGGGGACGTAATTTGTGATTAGCACCGGTCCCTTTCAAATTGTATCATTATTTATGTACGGTCCTTATATTTGACATGACGTTTCACATGCATCTAGTGATGGCCGATTTTCTTACGAATAATTGATTAATCGATTAACGAACCGAAAAGTAAAATATTTGTAATCGGTTATATCGTGCCGATATAAGGATTAACATCTCCAGAGGATCCTCACCGATCGTTTCAAACATGTGCTGCACTCTCATTGGTGGAAAAATGGCAGTACAGCGAACAAAAAATAATCGATAAGTTGTTAATCGAGTAATTGAAAAATGGGACATCTCTGATTTAGGTGTGTTTGTTTTGATAAAAATGAGCGCAAAATTTCATCTGTGCCGAGGGGGCAGCAAAACCACAAAATTACCTTGAATACGGGGGGTATCCATTGGATGAAAGGGACCGTGAAAGAGGATACTAAAATAGAAAGTTTTTCTTCCGACAGTTTCATCTTAGTATTTATCTTTGGTTTAATCTTCCATTATGCGAATGGAACGACGACAAAGGTACGCACACGAAACGAAAATAAATGTTTTTATCCATGTGTTTCACTTATAAATTTTTCCAAAACATCAGCCTTATACCATAGAGGTAACTCTAAGACTAGAAGATCCCGAAATAACGTGCTCAACATTTGGGCTCAGTTCTGGTACTCTCTTCGGTCCCAAGCTAATCGATTCTTCTCTCGAAACATAAGAAAAACCAATAACCCCTCATTTTATCTGTCAAACTTTCATAGCGAATGAAAACAAACATTGCGTAGTACTAGAATTTTGACTAGAATAGGGTACGTTAATCGTTTGCTTGGGACCAATAGGCTAGTCAAGTAGTGAGCCAATTTACAATCGTTAGTTTCGTATTGATTGTTGCTTATACATTCCAAAAGACAAACCACATAGGTCCTATAAGAATGCATAAAAAGTATGTGTGAACGCTTATACATTTCATTTGACACATGATCTTCATTAACTTTTTGCGTCTGCTTATTAGTTGACTTATACATTTTATGAATAATCAGCAATATAAATTTGCCAAAAGGTATAAGGAGATTTCTATCCGTGCATGTCGCATACTGGTGAATTCATCCAATATGTGAGTGTGTATGACTTGCCACCAGAGGTATCCGACAATGAGCTGGATAAAGTGCTGGGGAAATATGGAAAAATTAAACGCATCATCCGGGAGAAATTTCCAACTGATCTGTGCTTTGAGGTATATACAGGGATACATGGATATATATGGATGTGAAGAAGGAAATCCCCACTTCATTACATTTCTTCAATCGCAAAGGAAATATATTTTATGATGGCAACAAAGATAAATGTTTTCTGTGCAAGGCAAACGGACACCGGAAGCTTTCCTGCCCCAAGCGGAAGGCTCGGAAGGAACCGGAGAAGCAACTTAAGGAAAAAGGAAAGCAGTAAAGTGAAAGAAAACAAAACAGTAGCAGTATGTATACTGCAGGGCTGTTACAAGATTTTCTAAATTCGATCCGCGAAATCCGCGATTTCTCAAAAGAAATCCGCGACTTCAAATGCTAATCCGCGAAAAAAAAACTGTTTTCATTGCCTAAAAATAGCATTTGTGTACTACTACATACATGGCATTTCAAGCTTATTGCTTCATATTAGATTTTTGCCTGCACTCAAATTAGTGTTCGTTGAACTACTTTCACATTTTAATCGAGAAATTTCTATGCCTGTACCATCCTATGCCCAAGAAAGTAGAGAAATTTTGCAACCCGAAAAATTAATAGACCGGACGGGAATCGAACTCAGTCACCTCCAGCATGAACTTGCTTTGTAGCTGCGCCTTTACCGACTGTGCTTAAGGAATATCGTGTGTAACCCTTGAAAAAATAACAATGAATCATCTTCAGTTATTTATGTATAGTATAAATTCTGAGTAATTAGTGAACATAATAAAACACCCTTACTTTATGAGATTCTATTATCGGCCTAGATTTGATGAAACATTATTTTAAAAAAAATAATGTATTTTCAATTGAAATGCAAATTTTCTTGAAAGTTAACCTTTGCGTCTCTGACGTATTTTGCTGTCCTAAATGTTGTAGTTAATTTGGCTCTAGTTTTCTCAATTTTTTACCGATTCAAACCAAACACCCAGCACATAATCGAGAAATTACCAGAGTTTCATAAGTCGCACTTGTTGGTCACGTCGCGGTTGTGTATTTACACGGATATTCCTTGGGTTCTGTGCAATGGTGAGACATTTTCATGATATTTTTTTTTATTTCTAATATGAACCTAGCACATTTCGTTGTTAAATCTTAACCGAATCGTATATATGTGACTTTGTGGTTCATGCACGACTTATTACTATGTATACCGGAAATTATAGGTTTTCCAAATCGTCCAGGACATCAGTTGATTTGTTCTGCTAGACCAACCAAGACTGCAATAATGTCTGTAGTATGGAAAACAAGTGTCTATGTGGATCATGCATGATCTATTTCCGAGTAATCCAGATGTTCAAGGTTCTTCTACTAGATCAACCGAGATTGGTACAATGTCTTAAGTATCGAAATATTTCCAGACAGATGCACAGTGTCTATGTGGATCATGCATGAACTATTGCCATGTATACCAGATGTTTTAAGTTCCCATATCGTTCTGGAGTTCAGATGATTTATTCTACTAGATCAACCATGACTGTGATAAAGTCTGTAGTATCGAAATATGTTCAAACAGATTCATAGTGTCTATATGGATAATGTTTAATTATTTTCACATATACCAGATGCTCTAGGTTCTCCAAATCGTTCTGCAGTTCAGATGATTTGTTTTACTAGATCAACAAAGACTAGGATAATATCTGCAGTATCGAAATATCGATTTGGAAATCCTAGAACATTTGGCATACACGGAAATAGGTTGGCATGGTCCACATAGACACTGCAAATTTGTTTGGGCATATTTCGATACTACAGATACTGAATTAGTCTTGGGCAAGGAATCAAAAATATCTCCAAATGACAAAATAACAAGCGATCAACGAACCGAATAATAACGCTATGTCAGAAGTGAAAAGCAATAATGATATAATCTTCACCGTTCTTTTTCATGACAAACAGCCCGTGCGACACAACTCATTCGGGGCGGTAGAAGGAAACGAGCAAATTGTTGGTAAGCTGCTTCACGAAGTAAAGCCGAAGATGATACACGTGTGTTAATGGGAATTTTTTTGTGATGTCTTTTCCGATTCATATCAAGCTATGTCTTCATCCGTGTATATTGCAACAAAGCAGGCAAGCAATATATCATTATCCTTCTACCACTCGGATCGAGCTTTGTTACTGAGTGAGTTTGTCATGGTAGTTTTAGCAACCGTTTTGTCTGTATCGTTGGTTGCTTTATGTGTTTGGATTCGCTGGTCTTGGGTGATCTAGTAGAAAAATAATCTCATCTCCAGAACGATTTCAGAACCTATAACATCTTGTATACGTAGCAATAGGTCGGGTACAATCCACATAGACACTTTGAATCTGTTTGGACATATTTCGATACTACAGACATTATTGGAGTCTTGGTTGATATAGTAGAACAAATCAACTGAACTCCAGGACGATTTGGTGAACCTAGAATATTCGGTATACATGGCAATTACTCGCATATAGACGATTCGTTTTTGATTTGACAACAAAAGATGCTATGTTCACATTGGAAAAAAAGGAAAATGTCTCACATTGGACAGACCTCAGGGAATTTCCGTGTAAATCCGGTGTGACTTATGGAATTGAGATCATTTGACTGAAAGTTCAAATCCGCGACAAATCCGCGAAATTCGCGAAATCCGCGCCTGTTGTAACAGCCCTGATACTGGTATAGTGGTGGAAGGTGCAAACAAATTCGGGAAAGAAAGAAGTTGCGTGCATGGGAGAAGATCGCTTTGTCGCCGCATCGATCGCCACCCAGGAAAACCTGTAATAAAATGCATTTTTATATCTTTCTTTTTTTTGTATTTTGAGTACCAAAATTGGTATTCCATGTTACTCGGCTCCGCTAAGTTATTTTTATAACATTTAAGCCTGCCAAATAAACGAAATGAAAAAAAAAAATATATTCAACTGAATAGAGTTCTCCAGATGCACAAAAGTGTGCGTGAGACCGCGCGCTACCTTTTTAAGTAGTTGTGATAGCGCGATACCTTTTTGTTTCTTCTTCTTCTTCGTTTTTACGTATGGATGTTGGATTTTAGTGTTCGTGAGATTGCGCTTGGAGATCTCTATAAAGTAATATTATTTGATCTTTCGGCTTGTTTGTTTTGGGTTCCTCAAAACTTACGTTCAGATCAGTAATATTTTAGGCTTGATTTTAGGATTTCTATAGTACTTTTGTAACAAGTTAAAAACTCGAGGCCCTTTTCACATATTACGCGAGAAACGTCAAAAAGCTTAAACGTCATGTTTGAAAACACTCTGGCAACGCTGTCATGGCTCATGATGCGGATCACGACCAATGAGCTGGATTACCGAGGTAAAGCAATCGGTTAAGTTGTGTGAGTAAAACCCCTGTACGATACAAGCAATTAGTGACGTCACTACTTGCGTTTACGTTGATTTTTTGGTTTACTAATACAACCATATTTCACGATCTGCTTCACCTCTCTCTGTACTCCTTGGATCACGACAAGAACAAAATCAAACAAAACCGTGATGTTAGAGTGTTATCGCGAATCGTAAATTTTACCAATAAACCAGATTAATCAACCGTCTGACCATCATGGACTTGATCTGCCGCATTTGCCAGCAATCGAAAGTGGAGGAGTTGATTCTTATCTCGTCCACGGCCGCCAGACAGCGGGAGCGAATTTGCGACATGATTGGTGCGGTGATCGGTTCGAGCGTAAGTTGATATTAGGGTGGTTCCTAAAATCGTGATTAGTTTGTTTAATAACGGATGAAACTAGATTTAAAAATACAGGTGGAAGAATACGACCGTTTGCCTCAGCACGTGTGCAGCGCCTGCTTCGGGCAATTGGAACGAACGTATCGTTTATGGAAGCTATGCCGGGGTGTCGCGAGAAGGGAAGTAGCACATCAGAAGGTACAAAATGAAAATAGGTGCCGCACTTGCTGCGCGTTGACCGATGGTGAATCCTGTAAGAAATGGGACACGGATATTGATGATATGTTTCAGCACCTGAGTGGCGCACTAATCGAAATCAACGATAACCGCCATTCGTGGCTTTTATGCAAAAGCTGCCTAGTGGAAATGGATGCGGCATACGAGTTCAAGGGTAAATGTATCGAATCGGAGGCAAGTTTGCTGGAAAGTATGTCTTTTATGTGGGAAAAGATGGAGGTGGATGCTTGCAATTGGGAGCAGTTGGTGATAGACCTATACGCGGAAGCAGTGCAGGAACAAGGAAGATTGCATTGTTCAGTTTGTTTGCTGGAAGTTGAAATGCAACAGCTTGGAAAGAAATGCGAGGGTTGCATGTTGCAGTTTCGGAATTATGATGAAATTCAATCGGTTCAAGCATCCGTGCGTGCTGAGGAGAATCATAGCACCAGTCCTGTTGAAATAGATAGTGTTTGGGTAGAGGTAATTTACAATGCCATGTGCATGGACCCTTGATGGTTGTGTTTGTTTTTCACAGGAAAACTTATCTCATGAGTTCATAGATGAACGGGATGAGGAATACTTGATCGAGGACGACGTCAGCTGTGAGACCAATTCTGAAGTGGTAAGTATCCACATGCTATTTATTAGCTAGTTTAATGCATCTTCATTAATGTTGTATGTAGGACATTGATAATGACATCGAAATAACTGAATTGAACAACAAATGTTTCGTATATATTGGAAATTCCAAAACTCGGTATGAAATTTTCGAGAAGTATCCTGATGATCCATTCCCGAAAGCACGACGGACGGAACCATTTTGCTGTAAATGTATGATGTTTTTCGATACCAAACTTGATTTGGAAGCGCACACGAAACGAAGCCACCAAAAATCTACCGGCAGGGGAGAGTTTTCCTGTGATGTGTGTCTCTCTCTTTTTACCGATCCACAATCATTGGAGTTTCACAAAACAAAGTTACAAACTTTCTTTTATGACTTTTGTAAATCTTGTAAAATAGTATTGAGCTCTCCGTACCTGTTACTGCAGCATAAAAAGAAATTTCATGTGGAGTTGGAAACAGTGATGTCTACCAGCGAGCAAAATACAAGGGCAGCAAAAGAGAGTGACTTGACGGAAGTCGAAATCAATTGCAAAACGGAGGTCCTTGTAAGATACGACTGTTGTGTGCGAAATTGTTGCAATCGTTATTCATCGGAAGAGCAACTATTGAAACACTTGAACACAGCTCATTTTCATTCGCAACAGATACTGGGGAATGCTTGCCAATACTGTAAAGTGAAGTTTCCCAACGAAACCGCTCTGCTGGAGCATTGCAACCGTAAGGTCGAAAGTCAAAAGCCTCACATAAGATCTTCTAATAAACATAATAAAAAGCCATCAACAAAAAGTCTACCACTGGATTTGAAACATTTTAGCGTAGTCAGTAAAATGGATAAGAATACGGACATTTTGAAGCGTAAATGTGAGCTTTGTTGCAAGTGTTTTCTTTTGTTCGATTCCAAAGAAGAGTTAACAGCACATTGCCAGCAACATAGCACCAAAGGTAATTGAGCATTCCGAGTTCGAAAAATTCAATACCTTCAAACAGTGTGTATTTTCGTTCCAGGAGGACAGCCATTCCATTGTCAGGTTTGTGGCCGAGGCTTTCTCAACCAATCTGCCTACACAAGTCACAGAGATCTAACCGAAAAGCCCATTCACTATTTTTGCCGGGTTTGCGAAAAAATGCTGTGGACAAAATTCGACTGCATAATCCATAGAGCGGCGGTCCATTTTCCGGAGGATATGAACGCTCAAATTGCAAGCATGGTAGATGCTTTTTTCACATGCTGTGGCTGTAAGAAACCATTTGGAACTGAAGCAGAGCTTGTTGAACATCGACGGACGAAGCACCAACCTCCACCAGCTTCCTCGTCAAAGCCAGTCCTAAAAGTTCCGAAATGTGATCATTGCCACATGTGTTTCACCAAACCTAAGGACCACGAGAAGCATATCACTCTTTATGAAAGTAAGATGACATATAGATGCAAGGTAAGTTATGACCTACATTAGGTAGGGGAAAAGACGGCTTCGGAACTTCTTTGCTTCGTCAGAAGGGAAAATAGAGTTCTTGAGTACTGACCCCCTAACGATAGTAGGATAAGACGTGCCAAAGCCGACATTTTCCCTATGGGTGAATGAGTTTCTACAATTTTGTCTTGTTGCAGTTGGCTTCATGTGCTTTCAAAACCAATGACATAGAACGGATAAGGCAACATATTTTTGGAACCAGACATCAGGATGCCATAAGAACTATCGTACGCAGTGCTGATCCAAGCGAATATGCTTGCTGTATTTTGGACTGTGAATTTCGATGTCATGATTACGACGCGATGATCAAGCATGGCAGAGCGACCCATGCTCAGAAGCGTGAATATTTCTCTGTTCTACACAGCGATCGTAAATTTAAATGTCCAGTTTGCGGAAAAGGATTCGTATTGGAAATTTTATTGATAAACCATAAGAACAGTAGACAAACATATCACTGTCGAGGTTGTGAGTTGAACGTCCCACGAGAAGAGCGCTCTTCACATGTGCAGTGTGTTGAAAAACCGAAAGTAAAATGTGAGATTTGTGAAAAGTTGGTGGCATCCGAAAAAGGCCTTCGGTACCACGTCAAAACGGTGCATTCTAATGAAAGTGAAAAACACGTTTGTAAAATATGCGGGAAAAAATTTGTGCGCCTGGCCGTGCACATGCAAAGTCATAAAAATGAGCGAAATTGGGTTTGTAAGATATGCGCTGCACGGTTCAATCACATAAACCTGCTCCGAAATCACCGTCGAGTCCACATGAATGAGAGTGTCTACACTTGCCGGCATGGTTGTAAGAAGCACTACAAGACACCCGGCGATCGGGACCGACACGAAAGATTAGTTCATCTTGGAATCACACCCTTCCGTTGCGAGTTTTGCGAAGCTTCTTTCATTCGGCTGAAGGATCTTCGACTACACCAAAGGAAACATACTGGATTGCAGTTGTATCCCTGCCCACACTGTGATGCCGGTTTCAACAAGAAGAGCGAATACGATGACCACTGCAAGCAGTGCAAGAACAGCGTTCTGTAGATTTATTTTCTAGAGCAAAAAAAAGAAATGTTGACAAATCGATGCTTGTTTTTTTTTTCTTGAAAAACCCAACGAGAAATTTCCGACATTTATTATTCTAAAATGATAATAAATCTTTCGACGAAGCGCATCACGCGAGAGATGAAACTCTGTTGAATACTCTCTGAAGTCCGCAAATCGCACCGTATGCTCCATAATTTGTGCGACGTAGAGCATAAGGTTACTATGCAGCGGTCGGGGTTGAACATTCAGGTCCATTTGCCATGAGAGGTACTCTAATACGGGTAGTAATCAATTGGAACAACTGTTTCACTTTTATCAAAACGGAGTCATTTTCTACTCAGTTTGACTGTGTTCAAAGGAAGTTCCCTGAGATTCCAGGTCATAAATTGAATTTCCTGATGTTGCACGTAGTCAACACCCTGCTACCAAAACGAAAACCAGACAATTACGCAACAGATCTTTTTCAATGTAAATTTATTTGCATCTTAAATCCAAAACTAGGAAACTAAGGTTAACTAAAACAAAAAGAAAATCGTAACTGTGAATTCTTCGTCTCCTTCATTCGAGAGTCATCTTCGTGTCATCATGTTTTTTGTTCAAATGTTCGTCCATACGTTTGGCTATGTTCGTCGAATAGTCACAGTTTGCCACTGGGCATTTAAAGAACTTCTCCTTGGTGTGCCTGGTCATGTGCAGTCTTAAATCCCGTTCACGGATGAAGCTCGCCTCACACACGTCGCATACGAAGGGCCTATTGTTCAAGTGAACGGCGTCTTCGTGTCGTTTGGCGTCGCTCTGGTGGCGATAGGTGTTGTCGCAGTATGAACACTTGAACGGACGTTCATTGGAATGGGTGATCATGTGCCTCTGCAGGAGGACCTTCGCTCCAAAATCACGCGAACAAACGGTACACTTGTAGGGCCGAGTTTCCAAGTGCTTGTTCACAATGTGGTACTTGAGGGCACTTTTACTGGCGAAGCTTTTCCCGCACGTGTTGCACAGGTCTGTGAAAATCAGGTCGTGTATTTTCTTCTTATGTATAGCCAAGCTGTATTTGTTTGAGTAGCTGGAATCGCACTGATCACACTGGAACACTACCTTAACCTGTGAATGACTCTTTTCGTGCTTGGAAAGATAGTCACGGGTTGCACATTTGCGGCCACATATTGGGCAGATGTACTTTCGATCGTACTGCGACCGTAGATGCCCTTCGAAGGCACTAGTTGATGGAAAATGGCGGATACAAAGTGGACAAACGTTTTCCGTTATATTCTCCGTAAAATTACTATTCGTAATACGCTGTTCTGCGTGGTCGTTTATACAATGCTGCTCCAGAGAATCACGACTTTCGAATGTTTCATAGCACACGTAGAAGCAACAGAAGAACTCTGTTAATTCCGGTTCCGGTTTTGGCGCGGGGAGCATACCAACGTTCAAGTGTAATCCGGCTTCGATATGTTTCTTCATAACAGAGCGTTGATTCGAACGGAATTCACACTCCGGTGCACGGCACTCGTAGGTTGTAGTGCCAATGGAAGCCAGCTGATGTTTGAGCAAAGATTGTTTGTCTGAAAAACTGTTGTAGCAAATCATACACTGAAACATGGGATGTTCTTCCCGATCCGGATAGTGCATCAGCTGGGTGTGACTGAGAAGAGATTCGCCATTTTCGAATTCTTCGTAACAGCCACAGCAATTACCAAGTGATTCGTACTTTGTCTCGACTTTTTCATCGAAACTTAATCGATCTGTCTCGGATTCATCTAGGAAAGGGTGGAACCGGGTGAACTCGAAGTGACGCTGCAAGGTTCGTTTGTCCTTTGTCAGAATGTTACAAATCTTACAACGATAGAATAGCTTCTTGTCCCGATTTTCTAGATGCTCTGTCAGATCCGAAGCATATTGGAAACGTCTAAGACATTCGTCGCATTTGTGTCTGTAGCTTCCTGCCACATCCTTAGTTGTATGAACAACCGCACGATGTTCTTCCCATTCGCGATCGTCCTCCATCAGTTTTCCACAGCAACAAATAATACCGAAGAATATCAACTGTTCATAATATTCCGCTTCTTCGGTGGAAAAGAACAGTGGCATCAGTCGTTCCGCTTCTACTTCCGTGGCTTCCAAATAGATAAATGGGTCCATATCCTCATCATACCGTGGAACAACTTTCGGTTGCGGTAGCGGTGGTGGCAATTTATGCCTTTTCTTCGATCCAGGAACGACCCAACCGTCTTCCTCCTGCTTCATCAACTTTTCCGTGTTCAGCTCTACTCCATTATCTACCACCTCTACCTTTACCATGTTCTTTCTGATCGTAAAATCCGATTTTAGAATCATATCCCGAAGGGTGTACGTCGTAGACAGTATTTCGAAACACTCTCCACAAATATTCTGAGGCAGACCATCGTCCTCTGCCGGGCGTATTAAGCCGCAGGCTTCCTTCATCATATCAGCAACCAGCTTATCTTCGCCACCGCTAACGCAAAACACTGAAATCAATTCATCCACATCATTCCGCTGACAAACTCGGCAGCACACACCACCATGCTCGGCTTCGACATTCTCGAACAGCATCCGTTTGAAAGACCGTTCTGCATTTCGGGACTTCTGTTGGAAGGAATAGGCCGTGTCCAGCCGGATGAGGCATCGATCGCATATGTGCTGTGGTAACTTGTCATTTTCCTGCGGAGGGCCCAATCGTACCAAATCGTTTATCATTTCCACTACCAGTTTGTCCTGCGTATCGCACCGGCAGTACAGGGATATCAACTCCTCCACCTCATCCTCGAGACAAAGTCTGCACCGGAGCATATTCTCCTGCTCCCAGTGAGCAGCTGCCATCTTGCTGGGAAATGTAAACAATGTAAATCGATTAGAAAGGGATCAAATAAATCGACTTCCAATGGTACTACCTATATAATCGTAGCGAATAGTCTCACAAGCAAGTAGGATTCAGTTGCTAGATGTTATTGATTGAAAAAACAATTAAAAATGTTACCTGTAAAACGCACAACTTTACAGACTTTGACCTAAGAGAAGAGCAGAAGAGGTGACAATACAAGGGCGAAAACAGATATTAGTGACGTTTAACGCACGCACACTGGTGCACCGCCGTGTAAAGTTGTTTATTATTTTCCTCTAGCTAACCTAAAAAATGTATGAAATTAGATCTGCCAAAATGAGTTTGACAGCGATTTGATGTATTTTCTCGGATTTTCACTAACCGCTCTCACATATCAACCGGTCTATACAAGGTGTGGAATTGTAGGCATAAATGTATTGGTGCACTTCGTTTTTCACCTCGGCTTTCATTCCGCTTCGCACGATTCGTTTCTTTCGTTCACTCAATCATCCTTGTAGTGACGTCTAGCGTTTGTTTCGAATCGGCGCTTGCATAGGAAAATTAATTTGGATTATAGAATTTATTTTATGCTACCAAATTTATGAATGGTCTGCCACTAAATGGTGAGATAATTTATTGATTAATAAATTATCACACTTTGTACCATGAAAAAGCAGCCTGTTTGTGAGTTTTTGCCTGTTTTCAAGTAAGGAGTTATCATAAAATAAAGATAGCCAGCTGATATTTTGGGGTGACTTTACAAAAGAATACAATCAAGCAAAATCATCATGCAATAATAGCTAGGATTTGTTTTACTTCTTATTTCGCAAATTTCCTTTCGAGTGTTATCACGTCGTCACCATCGTCTCCCGCAAAGTTTACATTTTTCCCTCTACCAACACAAACGTCAGGGCTAGATCTCCACATAGACCAGGTTGCTCACATATCGCACCAATACAATCGGACGTGAAAATCTCTATGAACCACTTTTCTGTCAAACGTGAACCAGCTCCTGATTGGCCGATTTCATGTGCGTAAGATACAATGACGTTTATATAAGGTCTGGGCCAAAGGGGTTATTGGTGTTAGTGAAATGTGCAATTGTTTAGTGGTGTTCGTATTTTATTGCAATGTTTATCTTTTTACACGAAACAGCTGTTGGCAGTGACGTATTTCTATCTGTTCTCAGGCTGTGTCCATTTGGTGAATTTTCACTTAAATTGACACTTCGAAACTAAATTATAATGTTCGAAAATCCCTCTGTTGTTGATCGGCCAATTTTCGAGAAGGTGTGTGTCAAAATTGATTCCTTGTCTGTCAGATATAAGTCTGCTGGAATAGCAGGTTAATTTGGAAATTTTCCATCTGTCAAGTTTAAGTGAAAATTCGCCAAATGGAACACAGCCTCAGCATGTTGGCAGTGACGTATTTCTATCTGTTCTCAGCATGTTGGCAGTGACGTATTTCTATCTGTTCGCAGATGTTCAGAAATGTTTACAACATTTTTGCTTCTAATACCAGCAAGCTGCCTGTTGGCTCAGACCTTATATAAATGTCATTGAGCGTATAGGGCTTTTCACAGGATGAAAATAAAACACAAACCGCTGCCAGGTCGAATCGGTCGAATAACAGATGATTTTCTGCAGCTATTTTGAAAAGTTGTCGAGAGTTACTGCAGCCCGTTCTAGAAAAAATCTGTAAAATTCAGTTTTACAGGTAACATCTAGCAACTGAATCCTACTACTTGCTCGTGATAGAATATTCGCTACGATTATATAGGTAGTACCGTTGGTAGTCGACTCATTTGATCCCTTAATTTTAATCGATTTACATTGTTTACATTTCCCAGCAAGATGGCAGCTGCTCACTGGGAGCAGGAGAATATGCTCCGGTGCAGACTTTGTCTCGAGGATGAGGTGGAGGAGTTGATATCCCTGTACTGCCGGTGCGATACGCAGGACAAGCTGGTAGTAGAAATGGTAAACGATTTGGTACGATTGGACCCTCCGCAGGAAACTGACAAGTTGCCACAGCACATATGCGATCGATGCCTCATCCGGCTGGACACGGCCTATTCCTTCCAACAGAAGTCCCGAAATGCAGAACAGGCTTTTAAACGGATGTTGTTCGAGAATGTCGGCGCCGAGCATGGTGGTGTGTGCTGCCGAGTTTGTCAGCGGAATGATGTGGATGAATTGATTTCAGTGTTTTGCGTTAGCGGTGGCGAAGATAAGCTGGTTGCTGATATGATGAAGGAAGCCTGCGGCTTAATACGCCCGGCAGAGGACGATGGTCTGCCTCAGAATATTTGTGGAGAGTGTTTCGAAATACTGTCTACGACGTACACCTTTCGGGATACGATTCTAAAATCGGATTTTACGATCAGAAAGAACATGGTAAAGGTAGAGGTGGTAGATAATGGAACAGAGCTGAACACGGAAAAGTTGATTAAGCAAGAGGAAGACGTTCCTGGGTCGAAGAAAAGGCATAAATTGCCACCACCGCTACCGCAACCGAAAGTTGTTCCACAGAATGATGAGGATAAGGACCCATTTATCTATTTGGATGCCACGGAAGTAGAAGCGGAACGACTGATGCCACTGTTCCTTTCCACCGAAGATGCGGAATATTATGAACAGTTGATATTCTTCGGTATTATTTGTTGCTGTGGAAAACTGATGGAGGACGATCGCGAATGGGGTGAACATCGCGCGGCTGTTCATACAACTAAAGATGGTGCAGGAAGTTACAGACACAAATGCAACGACTGTCTTAGGCGTTTCCAATATGCTTCGGATCTGATAGAGCATCTAGAAAATCGGGACAAGAAGCTATTCTATCGTTGTAAGATTTGTAACATTCTGACAAAGGACAAACGAACCTTGCAGAGTCACTTCGAGTTCACCCGGTTCCATCCTTTCCTAGATGAATCCGAGACAGATCGATTAAGTTTCGATGAAAAAGTCGAGACAATGTATGAATCACTTGGTAATTGCTGTGGCTGTTACGAAGAATTCGAAAATGGCGAATCTCTTCTCAGTCACACCCAGCTGATGCACTTTCCGGATCGGGAAGACCATCCCATGTTTCAGTGTATGATTTGCTACAACAGTTTTTCAGACAAACAATCTTTGCTCAAACATCAGCTGGCTTCCATTGGCACTACAACCTACGAGTGCCGTGCACCGGAGTGTGAATTCCGTTCGAAACAACGCTCTGTTATGAAGAAACATATCGAAGCCGGATTACACTTGAACGTTGGTATGCTCCCCGCGCCAGAACCAGAACCGGAATTAACAGAGTTCTTCTGTTGCTTCCACGTGTGCAATAAAACTTTCGAAAGTCGCGATTCTCTTGAACTGCATTGTATAAACGACCACGCAGAACAGCGTATAAGGAATAGTAATTTTACAGAGAATAACACGAAAAACGTTTGTCCACTCTGTATCCGCCATTTTCCATCGAATAGTGCATTCAAAAAGCATCTACGGTTGCAGTATGATCGAAAGTACATCTGTCCAACATGTGGCCGCAAATGTGTAACCCGTGATTATCTTTCCAAGCACGAAAAGAGCCATTCACAGGTTAAGATAGTGTTCCAGTGTGATCAGTGCGATTCCAGCTTCTCTAACAAGCACAGCTTGGTTGTGCATAAGAAGAAAATACACGCCCTAGTTTTTACAAACCTGTGCAACACGTGCGGGAAAAGCTTCGCCCTTAAAAGTTCCCTCAAGTACCACATTGCAAACAAGCACTTGGAGACTCGGCCCTACAAGTGTACCATTTGCTCGCGTGACTTCGGAGTGAAGCCCCTCCTGGACAAGCACATGACTACCCACTCCACTGAACGTCCGTTCAAGTGTTCATACTGCGACAACACCTATCGCCACCAGAGTGATATCAAACGGCACGAAGACTCCGTCCATTTGAACAATAGGCCCTTCGTGTGCGACGTGTGTGAGGCGAGTTTCATCCGTGAACGGGATTTACGAGTGCACATGACCAGGCACACCAATGAGAGATTCTTCAAATGCACGGTGGCAAACTGTGACTATTCGACGAACATAGCCAAACGCTTGGAGGATCATTTGAACGCAAAACATGATGACACGAAGATGACTCTCGAATGAGGGAGGCGAAGAATTCACAGTGATCGGATTTTAGCTAGTTTTAGTTTCGTAGTTTTAAAATTATTTGAGTAATATGCGAATAAATTTACATTGAATCAGATTCACTTGTGCAATCATATCACTAACACGACATTTTTAAAACTCGCCCAACTCAGCGTATTCTTTTAAAACAATTTGCAGTGTATTGTGAAATTTTCTAAATTTATCCCAAGCAACACATCTTCATGGGATTTTATTGAGTGAACTTCTATACAACCCAGACCAGTCATACAAAGGTTAAATAAACTGTTATAGAACTTGTGTGTTGTTTGGGATCCCTCAATACATAATACCCTCTATACAAATTTGGCTTGAATTTTTCAAAAATGCGTAAAAAATTAAGGACTCATGGATTTCTTTTCGTTCCACGCACCGAGGTTAATATTCAAAAAAGTGATTGTAAATAAATCATACATTTTCCTGATAGGTAAGTAAGAAAGGTAGGTATGGGAAATGATAAAAAAATAATAGTTAGTTCCGACTTACATGAAAATCCACACATCGGGTCTTACATTCCTAGCAGAACGCTGGTAGCACTCGGAGCCACCAGGCTAGGGTTGGGTGAGCATGCCTGACGAACGGACATCTCCCACGTGTCTAGCAGGTGAGAGAGTGAGAACATTTCCGGTAGCTTACAGATTCGGGCCAGGAACGCTTTCTGCACCTGTATGAGGAACGGTGTAGCATTATATTCCTGTTCGATCAGCGTGCAGCTTGGTGATGTGGATGGATAGTCCTCCGGGATGGTCACTGCGACTGGTGGTACGCACGGTAGATGTTTGTCGTCTAGCCAGCAAATCAGTTTGATTGTTTTGGTGTCGCCAATGGCGCATTGGTCAAGGGAAACTTTGAACTTCTGATCTAAGCGAGCAATTTCCCCCTGAAGGATGTGTGGAATCTCTTGACCCCCCGAAGGACCCAAGGTTGACGGTTCGTCTGCAGCAAGTCGCGGTTGTTTGGCTGGTGTTGGTAGATTCTTTATATCCGGACCGAAGAGCGCTTCCAAACATGGCCGGAAAGTGCGTTGTAGAGTGTGGTTTCCCAGCGAGCTTTGCAAGTTGGCGGAGACGGCTTCTACTAGTGGATTGTTGAGTGAAGTCTCACGAATAGATCCTAGCTGACTGGTTAATGCTGCTTCGCACTTATAGAGTGTCTCCAATGGAATACGACAAGTGGGATTGCACAGTATGTCCAACAAACGTTTCATTTTGGCCATCTTATCTATGTCGTCGTTTTCCATTTTGGCAATCATGCGTTTCAATGGCTCAATGTATTTAGTCAGCGAACGATACTTCTCACGGTAGAGTTGTTCTTCCTGTGGATTGAGTGGGCTAGGAGCTGCTCCCCCCGGTTGTCCTGGAGTGTTCAAGTTTGCTCCAGGAGATTGGCCAATATTTCTCGGTGGAATGCTGGCCACCTGAGGGCTTGGGGATGGAATGAGCGCTGGACTCGGTATCATTTGGCCTGGATGGGACTGTGGACCCAAAGATCCCGGTCCTGCTGGTGATGGAACCGATGGTGACGGCGATTGGCGTAGGAATTGGTTCGGAGTTACACTACGAACTGCTCCTCCCGGATAAACTTGTCCCCCACTCATCATTTCCTGAGGCTTTCTCACCATAGGATTCGCTCCAATAGGGACAAAGTTTCCTTGGTTATTCATTTGTTGCATATTACCACCAGGTCCACCTCCTTGATTCATTTGAACAGGGCCAGCATTAGGTCCACCCTGTGCTTGTTGAGGATTATTCGCTTGCTGTAAATTTCCAGGCCCACCTGGTCCCATGCCAGCCATTCCTACCTGACCCGACTGCTGCTGTTGCTGCACTTGACTCAAATTCCCTCCTGGTCCACCGACGCCTTGATTCATTGGATTCATTTGTCCTCCAGCCATTCCAAGCTGCTGCTGCTGACTCATTCCTGGAGGCATTTGCTGACGAATAACTTGATTGGGAGCTATTCCCATATTTCCGGGATTCATCGGACTATTTCCACTGATATTTCCCATCTGACCAGTGCCTGGATTCATTCCAACCGAGTTCAACTGTTGATTTAATGCATTCTGATTAATATGCCCTCCAGGATTAACCTGCATTCCTCCCATCCCACCCATCGGATTCATCTGGTTTGGACCTCCCGGGCCAACCTGCTGCCCAGAAGGTTGCTGCTGAGACTGCTGCTGCCCTACACCCTGCGGCATTCCACTTCCACCCATTTGCATCGGATTCATTTGGCCTTGGCCCATACCAACAATTTTTCCACCGCTCATACCTCCGGGTCCCATAACTCCGCCAATCTGATTCGGCATACCTGGCATTCCCGGTTGCCCGGGTTGCATTTGTCCTGGCATCATTCCGCCCATCTGATTTGCTCCTACCATGGCACCGACACGACCTTGCATTGCAGCCATGCCTCCGGTCATGGGCATTTGTGGACGATTCAAAGTATTAAGCAAATTGGATGCATTTCCACCGCCCATTTGGTTGCCCATGGGACCTCCCGGACCCATCTGGCCACCCATCATTGGCGGACGTGTGCCTTGTGTTGCCAGCGTTTGTAAAGCATTTATCGGATCCGGCATACCACCCTGTTGATTGGGATTTCCACCATCTTGAGCTCCTCCGGCAGCATTCTGCTGATTTTTGTTCTTGGTATCTTTGGAATAAAAATAACATCCTGACTCACACCGGCATGTTTATAAATATAATTATGGGTACATACTCATCTCGCGGACATGCAAGATCAGCCGAGCCACGTAACCCAGATATTCGTCCTTGTTGCGAGCCTTCTGGAAGACGTGGTTCTCCATTTCCAAACCGTTTTTGCTGGATGTCATCCCCGATTGTTGGATAGCTTCGTTACTATCAAGAGTTCAAAATAGAAAATTGAAGAAAATTCCATGAAGTTTCATCACCTAAACAAAATGGATGTAGGTCTAAGCTAAATACTTACATTTTGTTCACGACGCTTTGTCGAAAGCTGTTCGTTTTCCATGAATTATCCTCAGCCATTTTCAGTATCAATGACTATTTCACCAAACTGTGATATAATGCGAATTATGATTCACTATTCAAATGATTTTTTCCGGAAATTATCCAGAATCAAGAAAGAACTCGTATTACAAACCGTATATCAAACCATTGAAACATTTGACAGTACAGTACCTGTTAATGTTGTTGTTGTTGTTGCAAGTTTAGCGGTTCATGTGCGCCGTTGAAACATGGGATCAAGAAAGGCGGGCTTTAAATTAAACGTACACGGAGAAACGAAATAACTTAAAATTAAGTCTTTTAAAGTCCTCTATACACGGAGATGAAAAACTCCCCAAATTTAAGTACTTTTCCCTCAATTCAGCCCAACAACCCAAATTTGAGTAAATCGCATATAGTAGTTTCCATTCAACACCAGCAAAAAACATTACCTACTTTTAGGTATATTCTATCCAAAATAGAGTTTAATTCACGTAAATTTGAGAATATGCAATTTACTCAAAAGTAACTCATTGCACACTTAAATGTTTCCGCCGAGATTCCAACAGCCGAGTAGTTCTGCAATTTATTTTGCTGAGATTCAGTTAAACAATTGTCGAGACTCAGCTAACAACTAACATTTTGCTGAAATATCAGCTAACAAACAGATATTTTGCAGAGATATCAGCAAAAGTTACTGCCGAAGTAATCGGCTGTTGGAGATTTTACCGAGCTAGATTAAGTGTGTGGGCTGAACTAGAGTCGGTGTATAATGAGTCACGCCAAGGGAAACACAGTTAAACGCGCATCACGGTTTTCGAAAGATTCTCTTTCTATTCACTTGGCAACAAAAGACTTATACATCAACTTCAAATGACTTCTAGCGAGAAAAAAAAATAGCGGCTGTAGTAAATCATAATATAAGTGATTTTGTCAAATAATCTTCGCAAAAATAAGTACACATTATCAATACTGATCAGTACCAAACGTATCCCATGACAATTTAATGCTCATTGCGTGTTTATGAGCATTTCATCGATTATATTTTATATTTTATTGCAATACCTTTCGTGGACCTTTCATAGCATCGTAACATTTGTTTACTTTGCACGATAGGTAGCCGGTTTGACCCGAGGTTTGACCATAGAGGTAACTCTAAGACTAATAGGTCCCGAAAAAACGTGCTCAACTTTTTGGCTCAGCTCTGGTACTATCTTCGGTCCCAAGCTAATCGATTCACCCCTCGAAACTAACTCCTCATTTTATCTGTCAAACTTTCATAGCGAATCAAAACAAACATTGTGTAGTACTATAATTTTGACTAGAATAGGGTACGTTAACCGTTTGCTTGGGACCAATAGGCTAGTCAAGTCGTGAGCCATTTTAAAATCGTTAGTTTCGTATTGATTGTTGGTTTGACTGTTCAATAGGTAGACTTGGCTTCACTCTTGGCGTGACTCATTATACACCGACTCTAGGCTGAACTATATACCACAGACAAACAGACATAACACATTGAATGTTGTTTAACATAAAACATCGTCAGTAAAACACTACCGCCATCTGTTGAGTATACTGTGATGGGTAGTAGGCTGAACAGATGGCGGTAGTGTGTAAACGTCAAACGCAAGGGTTATTGACTATGTGCGCCACAGGCGGCGGTACTACCAACTAAAAACATTTAAATTGACCGTTAAATGCGTGTTCGATGAACAAATTGTCAGTGTTATGTCTGTTTGTCTGTGTATATACTATATGCTTTTCATGTTTAAAATAAACAAAAATATTTTGAAATTATTTTAGCATTTGAATGCGGGATAAAACAAAATAAAATTAATAGCAAATAAATGGAAATCTGCAGACAGGGCATCTAAATTCCTGCGATTAAGGAAGGTCTGTTGGTGTTTGGATCCGGGTCCGAGATCCGAGCGGCCGTCGGGGTGGGTGTCCGGGGGTTCCAGTTCAGTAAAACCGGTGATATTAGCGTCGTTTCGTCGTTTCTGACACTGGTCATCATACCGGCCTCTTTCTACGTTTGGTGTTGGGGGATGATTTGTTTTTCTTTCGACGTCGGGTGGGGGTGAGGATGATATGGGCATCGACATCAGAAACGACGGAGTGACGTTGATATTGTGGGGTTCCACCGGTTTTGTCGAGCTTGGAACACTTCCGGGTGGGTGCGTGGGTTTCCGGATCCTCTCCTTCGGTTTCGCCGCTTGCAGAGTTTGCCGAATGCAAACAAGAAGGAAAAAAAGGACACGCTAAACATTGTTTGGTCAGATTATGTATTGGTGAAATAAACATGCTTTTGAGTTTAATTCAAACATACTAATTTTTTGTTCAAAGCATGATTTTTATTTACTTTAAACACTATTCATATTTTTATTTAATAAACATATATATTTTTGATTTAAATGCAGGGTTGCTTCTGTTGGCTCGACTGCCAACGTGATGTTTGACTTGAATCTAAAACGGCTGCTCGTTGGGCCTTGCCAACAGATGACGACAAATTCCAGCTGCACCAGCTGCGAGCCGACATCGCTTACTCGGAATCGGTAGTTCTTAAAAGAACACCGCGAAAGTAAAACTCTTTTTAGAGCAGCGACGGCAACAAGCAACGGTGGGAACAGCAACTCTCCATTTCGGAAGTAGAGGGAACAGGAACTCCACTGAGCAGGACCATCGACAAAACTAGGACGGTAACAGAGACCCCTTGCATCGATATCGAATCGACGGGAAAACTGGAATTTTCTTTCTTGGATAGGATAACTTCAGCTTCTTCACTTTATCTCTATATTGCTTGGCAATTCGGAAACGACTGACAATGTGAATGCGTGATTCGCTTGGTTTTATACTTTTTTGAATCAGAGAGAAATTAAATGACGATGATGATTGGTCTAACAATCTACTACGCAAAACGGAATGAACGTGTACAATGTCATAAAAGCTAGATTCTTATTGTATGTTTACACTTATTTCTGTTCTTATTGCTAGTGTTAGTAAGGGAAGCCGTTTGACCGCGGCGTTCTCGGGGTTAGTAAAACAAAATGCAAGGAAGGGAAAAAAGGATAGGGAAATATTTCTGCTGTGCTGATTTCTGCGGCCAACATCGGAAACGTGGAGTGGTTAGCGGTGGCGGTGTAATCGATACACGGCAGTGGTACCAATCTATTCGCTGTTGCGAACATCCTCCCCGGCGCAAAGAGATGGGTTGCCAGAAGTCGTAGATTGATCAGCGAGGTGTTGTTTATCTTAACGTCAACAACACGCACCAAACCGTCTTCCCCAGGATATGTGTGGACTATTTTTCCCAACTTCCACTGCTGTGGTGGCAGATTTTTCTCTTCAACCAAAACGACGGTGCCGGGGGCGACATTCTCTAGACGAATCCGATTTTTCCCTCTAGGCTGTAAGTTTACGAGATAGTCATGAGCCCATGACTTCCAAAAATGTTCCCTCATCTGTTGTAGGTGTTGCCACCTTGACAAACGATTTTCGTTCAAACCTTCATAAGAAGGCTCAGGGACAGCGGTCAATGGCCTTCCAATGAGGAAATGTGCAGGAGTTATAACTTCACCCTCAGTTGGGTCATCAGAATGCGAAAACAGCGGTCGGGAATTGAGAATGGCCACAATTTGTGTGAGCAATGTGTAAAACTCCTCAAAAGTCAAATGTGTTTGCTTCAGAATACGCTTAAGGTGGTATTTCGTACTTTTGACCGCAGCTTCCCACAAACCACCAAATTCCGGAGCTTCTGGGGGAATAAAATGCCAAACAATCTCTTTAGTTCGGCAGAAGGCTTCAATATCGTGGACAACAATGTGGTCACGGAATAAGAGGAAAAGGTCATGTAGTTCTGCCTGGGCACCCCGGAAATTGCTACCATTATCCGAGTGTAGCTCTCGAATCAACCCTCTTCGACTTACAAACCGCTGCAGAGCAGCAATAAAGGCAACAGACGTCATATCAGACACGAGTTCGAGATGGATAGATTTCGTCACCAAACAAACAAACACCGCTATATATGCCTTAACGAGAGTCGGTTTTCGGGATCCTTGTTTGATCAGAAACGGTCCTGCATAATCTACCCCGGAAACTTCAAAAGGAGCGGCAGGCGTTACGCGGCTTTCTGGCAAACTACCCATATACTGGGCAGTTCCTCTAGGCTTCACACGGAAGCATCGAACACATCGTCGTGTTATCTTTCGTACTGCAGATCGGGCACCGAGTAACCAGAAGCGTTGGCGTAGCGTGGACAAAAGACCAGATGGTCCCACATGAAGGTGTTCTACATGATATGCTTGAATAATGAGATCGGTCAAAGGATGATTAGGCAAAATATACTGATGTTTCGTATAGAAAGGGACACGAGAATGTTGGATCCGACCTCCTACGCGTAGAACACCATCCTTCAGAAAGGGTCCTAGCATACCAATCCTTCGACAGGGTTCCTGATCCTCAACTCTCTGAATTTCATCAAGAAGTGTTTCATGCTGGATGACCTTTACGATTGTGTGAAGTGCAGATCTTAGTTCTTGGATGGTAGGTAGAGGTTCCTTAACACGAGCTTCAACTTCTTTTGTTCGACAATTGGTAATGAATCGTTGTACATAGGCAAGCACCCGTTGCAATTTGCGAAAGAAGCTAAATCTCTTGAAAACGGGTAGGTCATCTGAATTCAACACGATCATTACAACGAGTGGAGTGGCTTTTACGTCCGGAAGTTGATTTTCTGGAACTTCCTCAATATCGGGTTGATCGAAAGAAACGGATCTAAGAAACTATGGGCCATTCCACCATAATGAGTTTGACTTCAACGAATCAGGCAATTGACCACGAGAGACAACATCTGCGGGGTTTTCCCTCGATCGAACATAGTTCCACTGCTTGTGATTATTGTCATTGGTGATTTCTGCAACCCGATTGCGGACAAATGGTTGCAGCATTGAGGGAGGCTTTCGAAGCCATGCGATGACGATTTGACTATCTGACCAGAGAAATATTGACGAAAATTCAACTTGCATCGCGGGAACAGTCCTTTTGACTAACTTGGAAAGGAGTAAGGCAGCACAGAGTTCTTTGCGTGGAATTGTCAATTCCTGAAGCGGAGCTATTCTAGATTTGCTGCATAACAGCCTTACTGAGACTGAACCATTAGCTTGGATACAACGAACGTAAAGACAGGCACCGTAAGCCATACCAGAAGCATCTGCAAACCCATGCAGTTCGACGTACTCGTATTGAGGTACCATCACATGTCTCGGAATATGAATATCCTTGACTTGTATCAATGAGGAACGAAATTTTACCCAGGATTGCAAAATGTCTCCGTCGAGAGGTGTGTCCCACCCAATCTTCAGACTCCAAGTTGTCTGCATCAGATGCTTTGCAAGTACGATAACGGGTGAAACGAGGCCGATTGGATCAAACAGCTTTGCGATTTCTGAGAACATCTTTCGTTTGGTGACAGGTGTTGCATCTGACAGATTCGGATGGATTGAGAAAAGAAATTCATCATCGTGCGGATTCCAGAGAAGACCAAGGGTTTTGATTACTTCGTTGGCTGACATTTCATTCAGCTGGACTAAAGTTTCACGTTCGGACTCGGGAACTCCTTCCAAAATATCCGGATGGTTGGCACACCATTTGTGCACTGGAAATCCAGCCCTTTTCAGCATTTCCTGAATTTGCTGCCGACATTCGACTGCCCTTTGAATACTGTCTGTACCGGAAAGAATGTCATCAACATAGCAGTCTTCTCGGATAGCATGTGCTGCCAAAGGGAACTCATCTCCTTCATCAACACAAAGCTGAAGCAAAGTTCTGGTAGCAAGGAATGGAGCACAGGAAGTGCCGTATGTTACAGTAAGTAACTCCAAAACTCTGAGAGCGTCCGAAGGCTTCGAACGCCAGAAAATTCGAAGGAAAGCCGCCTGGAGGGGATCAACAAAAACCTGTCTGAACATTTTGGCAATGTCAGCAGTGAACACGTACGTTTGCTTACGGAATCTTAAAATCACAGTCTCAAGGCTGCTTTGGACAACTGCTCCGACCTGCAAAACATCATTTAGGGAGGTTCCAGAAGGAGGTTTCGCTGACGCGTCGAAAACAACTCTGAGTTTGGTACTAGAACTCGACGGTCTGATAACAGCATGGTGCGGAATGTAATATTTAATCATACCAGGGGGATCATTGGACTCTCGAACCTCTCTGCAATGTCCTACACGCAGAGAATTTTTGATGGTTTAAAACAAAAAATAATATTGTAGTGGTCAACGATCGCTTTATTATTGTTTGAATGTGGTATTTTTGTTCAAACATCTTTAATTTTTTTTAAAATCACAATATTATTTTTAGTTTTCTTGCTCAAATTTCCAAAGCATAAAAATTCTTGATTTAACAAAACGCATGGTTTATTTCAAGGGCAACATAAAATTAATTCAGATACCATGATTGTTGATTGAATTATATTTTTTTGTTCAGTGTGGAGAAGCTAGAAACCGAACCCGTCATTCGCCATTTTGTTCAAGTGCCAGTAAAGTTTTGCGTATCAAAATGTGTTCCGGTTCAGATAATTCAATAATTATTGAAGAACTGGATGTAGAAAAGGTGTCGGTTGAAGAAATCGAGTTGATAAGTTTATTGAATAGTTATGGAATGTCCGAACGAGTTATTGAAGCGTTTCTCGGTAGGTAGTATGCTTTTTTATTCAGTTACGGTATCCTAACATTATTATTGCAGTTAACAGTTACACCATCGAAACATTGAAAATTATACAAAGGAAGGAAATTGAGGAACTCCTTCCTTCGCCGTTTCTTGCTGAGCGAACCAGATTCATTCATGAATTGGACTCTTGGAGGGAGGCACAGGTAAATTATCATCAAATTATTCTTGTTTATTGCAACTAACTAGTTATTCCCTTTCATTACAGGGGCTTTCAAAAGTCAGCGAACAACCCGTTACTTGCAATTCATCTGCGACCCGAGACAACAACGCGTGGCCCTCTGAAGAGACTCAAGTGACACGAGAAGCCTGTACTGCCACCTTCTTATTGAACGCGTCATCGAAAGGGCAAGCCATCCTAAGGAAGTACAGCAAAACCGCATTCCTCTCCAGATCTGACAAAAAAAGTGTCACCCACATCGTTGTTGACGAGTTCAAAAACCGTTTTTCTAAGCTGTCATCGTCGGAACTACTGGATAGAGCTTGTGAGCTGAAGCAATTATTTCCCAGTGAGCCACAGGTAAACATTCAGTGATTATATTCAGTAACTACATCTGTAACCAGTTCACAATTCATTTATGTGTTTTCTTTTTATTTTTCATAGGAAACCTGGTACCAACCAACGTTTATCGCGGACAGCACAGGGAAAAGGAAGAAAATTCGCAAACAAGCAAAAGGTCGTTTGTACGATAGAAACATAAACTACAGGGAAATCGACTGGGACCGAAAGGAATCAAAAAGATCTGAAACATCCGCTAAAGCTTCCGTTGACGTCTCCGAAGAAGAAGGTAGTATAATAATAAAAAAAAAACAAAGTGTTTATGTACTTCCCTTACCTAATATGAATGTTTACATTATATTTTTCAGCTGCAGAGTACCATAAGGTAAAAGCTTGGCTGGAACATAACCAAGACGAATGGGAGGAACTCAAAGTCAAGTGGAAGCGATCTAGTCCGTGGCGACTGATCGAAATAACAAAAACAGAAAACCGAACGTGCGCTTCGATACTTGCTGAATATCCCACACTCAGGAACCACCGTGGCTATCAGCTTGTTCAGATAGATTTCCAGCAGAAGTTTTCCGGGAAGGAAGAAATCTTATTCGACCGTTGGATCGGGTTCGCTGCAGCTACTCAAGATATCTTGCAGGTTGAAGTGACAGATGCTAATGGCAAGGCCCTCCTTGCATGCTTAAATGCTGATGATATTTCAGAAGGTAAGCATTAACATGATAGAGACTGCTGAATATAAAACTGATTGTTTACTTGTGTTTCAGATGCCAGGAATTATGTAATCGTGTCTCTGCTGGCTCACATTCTTCCTCGTACACATGTTAAGTGTATCGGTAAAAAGATTTGGAAGCCATCGTACAGCGAAGCGCAGGAAGGAGTTGTGATTCATGTGAAACAACTGTCGGACTTAGAATCAACATTGTCTCGCTTGTTTAAAGGATGCCGGGATAGGGGCATTTCGTCTGCTCCGTTTATTATAGTTCGCGGGCCGGATTGGAGAAATCCCACCAGCTTTACAGTGTGGAACAACGTCGTGTCATATAAGCTGCCAAGCTTTTTGAAAGCGTTGGACGTGTGCATCAAGATCTACAAAGCGTATGATATCAATTTCCCGCCGCAGTCAGCAGTAATTTGGAACTTGTTATCATCGTACCTATTCGAAATTGATCCTGTTAAACAGGACGCCAGTGTTGAATCGTTGTGTTCTGCCATACGACTAAAGCTGTCATCAAAATGATCCATTGTATAGTAAAGGGGTGCTCCTGGAAGACTAGCTCAATCAACATACTTTACGAGCATCTGAATCGAATGCATAATTCGATATCAACTTATAGCTGCAATTATAGCGGCTGCATGCGAAATTACAATGTACGAGCATCGTTCTTTCGACATTTCAAAAAGCACTATGAGGATACAGCCAGCTGGAGGAACATAAACTCCACCCACGAGAGCAGAAATCTAAACGAAGTTCCACAATTTTGTTCCGAAAGTGACATGATAACCGTTGAGAAAAAACAAAATGTCAAAAATAAGCAGGAAAATAAAGATGAACTTGAAACAAAAAACAACCATGAAGAGAAAATAGATAACACGATAAATTTTAACGATTTGACATATCAGATGAAGAATTTAAGCATTAGCTTTAACCTGAAGTGGCTCAATATGAATACGTTACCACGGAAAACTGTTTTTGACATCCAAAATGATGTACGCACGAATATGCTTCAACCATTCAAAGAGGTGGTTGCAACGATGGAAGCAGTTGGTTTTATTACAACTGAAAGTAGTAGGATTTTCAAAAAAATGTTTGACATTTTTGGTGGTGTAGAGACGGAATATAAACTAATCCAAGCGTTGAAAAGTTTAGATTTGTATGCAGTTCCTAGAGAATTCATCATAAACAACGAACTGCGTGCCGGCGTTTCCAAGAATCAACAGCAATTGAGTAATGATCCAATCGGTGGTAAGTATCTATTTGTCTGTGTTAATCGCACCACATCATAGAAGTTTTTTTTTAGGTATTTTAATGCCCATAAAATTCCAATTGAGGAAGTATTTGGAATCGCTCAACGTACTTCAAATGATTTTGGATCACCTTCCTCCATCCGAAGATGGATATATTCGTAGTCTGGTAGATGGCTCCATCTGGAAAATGCGGACAAAAGGATCACCAAAAATCGTGATTCCTCTGAATCTATTCTTTGACGACTTCACCACCACAGATACAGTTTCACCACATGCGTCCAGAACATCAATATGCGCTATATATTATTATATACCATGTTTGCCAGCTTTTGTTCTAGCCAAGTTAGTTAATATTTTAGTGGCAGGATATATTTTGACGGAAGATCGAAAGCAATACGAAAACAAAGAACTTTTCAGTAATCTCGTAGATACATTGATTCACTTAGAGCAGGAAGGCATAGAAGTTTCATATGAAGGTAAAATTGTTGTAGTTCACTTTATGATTGGATTTATAACCGGTGACAACTTAGGAATATCTGGAATTTTAGATCTAGTAGAATCTGCCCGAGCAAATTTTTACTGTCGTGTATGCAAACGAAACCGTCAGCAAAGAGAAACAGATATTCGTGAATATTCAGAAACTTTCCGTAACGTAGAAAGTTATGAACGGGATTTAGAACTAGATGATGTTTCATTAACGGGTATTAAAAAAGATAGTATTTTTAATAGAATCCCTTCTTACCACGTTGCCTACAACATATACTTCGATTTAATGCATGACCTTTGGGAGGGAGTCTGTGTTTATGGTCTTTCACATTGCTTAAATTACTTCATTAATACAAAGAAGCTATTCACTCTCGAAGAACTAAATGCAAGGAAGAATCTTTTTGTTTTTGGAGATTTAAATTCATCAAACATACCCAACGACATCAAAGATGTGAACATAGCCAAAAGTAAAATTAAAATGACAGCAAGCGAAGTTAAAACATTAGTTACCTTTTTCCCTCTTATAATAGGCAAAATGATTCCGATTAGTGATCAAGTGTGGTGTTATTTCTGTAATCTTTTAAAAATTTGTCATATTCTCATGTTGCGAGAGGTACCACATTATTTAATTGAAACGTTACGACAATTGGTAGAAACTCATCATTCTCAATATCAAAAACTGTTTTGCGATACTCTTAAACCAAAACACCACAACCTTGTTCATTATGCATCATCTTTGTTAACTTCAGGGACACCACGCCATCAGTGGGCAATGCGAGGAGAAGGCAAACATAGGGAGGCAAAGCAGTACTGTAGAGTAAACAATAATAAGATCAATTTATGCAAATCTCTCAGCTTCAAAGCAGGATATAAATTTGCATTCAATCTACTAAACAATGCTTTCATACCTTCTGTATTGGATTATAGTGAGTCTAAAGTTACTTCACGATCACTATTACCAGGGCATGAGTTTTTGTTACGAGAGTATAGTATGGAAAGTTCAGCTGAATATGTTGAAAGCGTAATCAAGAAAGGATCGGTTTTCGTGAAAGGTACAATATTTTACGTATGGTATCATAATTGCATCATGCTCTATAGGCTAGAATACATCATCAGAATTAGAACTGAAGAGCTCATTTTCATCTGTTATCGTATTTATCATGAAACATTTAACGAGCATTTACAATCATTCGAAGTGTTCATATCAAATGAGCAGAGAATCATTCCAAATGCTGGGAAAGTAGATACTTTTGCAGTTAATTTGCATGAAGTAGATGAAAGAACATATTTTAGGCACTGTAACTTAGAATAAGTTTGGCGGTAAAATGTATGGCATAATATACGCATCAAAATAATTTCTCACTTATTTAAAAAAATAAAACAAGAAAATACCACGAATTATAAAAACAACCATATTCATTTATTGGGCTAAATAAATTTTTATTTAAACCAAGAAAAATAGCATTTTTGGTTCAAAAATTAACTCTGTTCCTTTTAAACACCAGATATTGTTGTTTCTCAAAAAATCATTTTTGCTTTAAAAAAAAATATTGTTACGCGGTCGTATCATCCCACTTTTGAATTCAACAATAAATATTGTTGAAACGAAAGCATGATTATTGTTGAATCAAAGATATTACTTTATAAGCCGGGAGATAATACAACTTTTTTGTTGAAACTATACTGAAAATTGCTGTTTTCAAACATATTTTCTCTGCGTGTAGTGACTCATATTCTTTAATGAAGTCAGAATACTGTGCATGTAGCTCCTGATCTCTGAAAAGACGTCTTTCAAGGAAGAAGAAACGACGCAGAGCCAAAGAGCGGTTGTCGTTCAGTTGAGATAAATTATCTCGGAATGGTAGCTTTACGACATATCTACCGGATGAATCACGACGATGAGTTTGAAGAAAGATTTTTTCACATTCTTCTTCTTCTACAGTGCGCTGAGAAGTGTTATTTACCTCCTCGATTTCCCAAAACCGTTTGACCATTTCATTAAGGGACTCAATAGAAACTGCGTTAACTTGTTGTGGACTCACAAACGCAACCGATTCATCCCGAATCTCACCTGAGACCACCCAACCCAGTTCGGTTTCTCGCGATTCTGGAAGACCGTCACCAAGTACTAGATGACCGGTTCGCAGAAGACTGAAGAAGTGATTCATTCCAATTAACAAATCAACATCGGAAGGTACATAGAACTGGGGGTCGGCCAGTTGAAATCCGGAAGGAATATTCCACTGTGAGATATCAACTTTCCTGCACGGAAGAGCATTGGTTATCTTTGGAGCTACCAGACACTTGAGAGAAACTTTGAAGTCACTGTAGAGGGACTGAAGGTTCACGGTTACGAGACGGTTAGACTTACTTTGAACATTACTGAATCCAACAATGTCAACATTCACTGGAGTGCCCTCGATACCCAACCTTTGGTACATTGAAGCAGACATCAGATTCGTCTGGGCCCCACAGTCGAGAAAGGCACGACATGGCACTGGTTAGTTATTTTTATTCACCAAATTCACCACAGCAGTGAGAAGCAAAACATTTGGTACCGTAGCAGTCAGAGAACAAGAAGACGAGACGAGTGTTGTGGATTCAGCAGAACGCTCGCTTTGGGATTGTGTAACAACTGGAAGAGAAGCGGGCCCATTATCACCCTTACTCTGATTGGACGAATTACCTGAAGGAACACTACTGTCGGTTTTGCTTGCATCATCATGCAAAAGGGAATGGTGACGCTTGTTGCACTTACTACAACTTTTCTTCGACAAACAGTTCATGGACCGATGTCCACGACGCAGACAATTGAAACATAGGTGGGCTTCTCTTACCTTGGCAGCTCGATCAGCCACTGATAACTTTGAGAAGTCGGGACATTGATAGTTGAAATGGCCCTTGCCACACAACTGACATGGTTCATTGTTAGTACTGGAAGTTGACGCATGAACCTTAACGCTGGTAGGTTTAACATATTGTTGGGATGGTTTCATTGGGTGCGCTTTCACGGTTGTATGAGTATCGGCTTCACAGCGTTCAAGGATACGGCACTGTTCCTTCAGAAAGGTCAGTGTCTTATTGAGATTCGGCAACTCATCATGAGAAAGGGATCGTTCCCACTGCTTACGAGTGGCAGCATCGAGACAGGAAGTCAAAATTTTGTTGATTATTAATCCCGTTGTACCCTCAACTGGTTGTTTCATGAACCTTAAGCCCTCAACGTGACGCGTGCACGTATCTACCAGAGCTCGAAGATCCTTATGGGATTCTTTTGACATCTTCTTCATTGTTAAAATCTCATCAATGTGAGTATCAATGATAATTCTGGGATTTTCATAACGATCAGTAAGAATTTCCCAAGCATGCTTGTAATTGTTGTCAGCAAGAGTTTTTGAATCAAGTATACCAGAGGCTTCACCAACTAGTGCTTTTTCTAGATGATGCAGTTTGATTGCATCGGAATCAGAGCTTCGACCAATTATATCTTCGAACATGGACTTAAAACGGGGCCAATTCTCATAGCGCCCGTCAAAGGTAGGGATTGGAGCTCTGAGCGGTTGTTGCTGCACGATTACATGTGTAGCACTAGTTGGTGTATTGGATGTAACAGGGGAAATCTTGGAAACTGACAACATTTCTATCAGAAGCTCCAACCGAATCAAAGATTCGGTGTGAAGCTTGTCAAACTCATTCAGCTTTTCATCCTGATCATTAGTTTTGTTAGGAGGGATGGAACAAAGAACTTCCTTGTGCAAGTTATTGTACTCATTGTAATGAGCTTCGAGCTTCTTCGCATAAACTTTGAGAATGGGTAGACTCACCTGAGTTGGATCGTCTTCGGCTCTTTCCAAGGCACTTGCAATCGCAGTGACCTTGGCCTTTACCTGACCACGTTGGTGGATGAGTGGCTTGATGTCCTCCATGGTCAACTTCACAGGTTTGATTGGGGTATAATCCACTGGCATCACGAAGGAAGGATGTTGTTACTTCGGAAGAGTAACTCTCGAGGAAAATGATACCAGTTAGGAACACTTCGTACTTTACTGCTTCACAGGAACATCACTTTTTGGATACTGGGAATCCAGCAAACTTCACAACTTGTTCTTTTTGCGTTCTAGCAATTCACTTTGCTCATGTTCATACGTGTTTGTTCATGTTCACGGTTAGGTCAATGGAAGCTATAACAATTCACTTTTTCTTCGGTACACTGTTCTTCTTCTTCCGTATTGACCACCGTGACACGGGAAAACAATTCACTCGTGGACTGTATGTTTCGCACTTTTATCCGGTTCGGAACGGACCACTATGTTGACTCGACTGCCAATGTGATGTTTGACTTGAATCTAAAACGTCATCTGTTGGCAAGGCCCAACGAGCAGCCGTTTTATAGCGAATTCGTTTATTATCGGGGTTGGAACCAGTTCCAACCCAGTGCGAAACCGAACTTTTTGTCAGTGCGAACCTCAACCTGAGCTAGGTTTTAAGAACAAACGAGCAAACTGACGTTTGTCAGAAAACAAGCAGACCCAATCCTGATACCCGATCCAGGTTGGAACTGAATAATAAACGAATTCGCTATTAGATTCAAGTCAAACATCACGTTGGCAGTCGAGCCAACAGCTTCCACTCACTTGCTATAAAACAATGGTTATCAAAATTATGAGATCATTAGATGATATAATTATATGTTGTACTTGTAACTAACAAGAAAAGGGTGAAAAGGATGTGTTTGACTCATAAAACCTGTCAATTTCGATTTCAGAGCGTCACAATCGACGATCTTATGATTCGCGAGCGTTCACTCTGAGTGAGCGCTCACGAATCGTTAAATCGCTGATTGTGATGCACTGAAAGCAATATTGACAGGTTTAATGTGGCAAATGCATACTTCACGACTTCTTCTTGTAACTTACAAGTACTAATTATCATACTATAACATCTAATGTTTTCATAATCCGGAAACACAATTTTTTATAGCAAGTGAGTGGAAGTAACCCTGTTTAAATGAACACAATTTGGTTCCGTGCGGGGTCGTCCCATAGATATTTATTCTCTTAGTTGTCCTCAAAACTACAATGTAAAGTTCAAAATTGCTGGAATTTACCTAGAAATGGTATATATTTTTTTACGAAAGACGGCAAAATTATACAGTTCTCGCGTAACATTTGAAAAGGGTCTATCCTCGTTGATCGATTCTCTTCATCGACTTTCTCTTGGTTTACCACGGTGTCGTGACCGGACCGAGGTTTCCAGCCTCAGTCACGGCTACACGAATCTCGGCTGATCTGCTTCCAGTACTGCTGTTTTATTACTGCTGCTGCTCCTACTACTGCTGCTCCTGCTGCTGCTGCTACTGCTGCTATTTGGTCACCGTTGCTTCCAAAGTTAGACAAAGTTAGTTACAAGAAACGGAGACCAAATAGCAGGAGTAGCAGCAGCAGCAGCAGCAGGAGCAGCAGTAGCAGGAGCAACAGCAGTAATAAAACAGCAGTACTGGAAGCAGATCAGCCGAGATTCGTGTAGCCGTGACCGAGGCTGGAAACATAAACGAATTTCTCGCTAAGCACAGTTAGACAGAAGATGATGTTAACTTGCGCCTGAAATAACACACTGAATGGGATATTCATTTGCAGTCGGTTTATTTACAAAAGATAAAATCGATTAAGATAATCGATCAACCATGATAGGCCCTTTTCTCGTGTTGCGCGAGAATTGAGATAAAACATGGTTTTGCTAGATCTTTGCCGAAGGCCCGGCTGTTGGATTCTCGACACATTATTTTATCGGCAAAATTAATCAAGTGTGTAGACCTGCGCACGGGTGAACTTTTGTTCATCTATACTGAAACAAGATTGACACCATTTGGTGGATTATTTTAAATTTTTGGTTAAAATTTGACAGATAGAAAGTTATCGATTAACCCTGCTATACGAGCATGGTTATTTCTGACAGACAGTAAACTATTTGTAAACTATCGGGAAGGGTAGAATGTTTCCTGTTGAACTGGAACTTTTCGTATCCCAAAAATTCAGTTCATTCAGTGGATCCTCTGGTTGAAGACGATATCAATTGATAGCCTTGGAATTCCCTAGAAACTTTTCTCAGAACCCCTTTGAAATTACCGTCGCAATTTTCATTGAATCAAAAAAAATATCTATTCACCATGATTCAAAAAATTGAGATACACTGCATGTGATCACAGGAAATTTATGTGAAATTCACATGGATTTCATCCATTAGAGTGTACTATCGTTTCATGTTTCAAATGCTTAAACGAAAAGTGGGCGGAAGCGGAACGGAAATGGAAACGGAAAGTTTGACAGTTCTCACAAATTACATCAAGATGCCTAACCGAAGGCAATTTGGTTCTAACTAGTTTTCAATCCGACAAGTAGCCTTATTCAGTTCGGGCTTTTCCACTTCCGCTGTCATTGCGCTTGGACCTTTAATCTAGCTCCTATACTAAGTCCCACCGAGGGACACTGAGATGCTGATTTTTTCTAATATAATCGCACTTAATTGAAATAGTTCTAGTGCTCCAAAATTGATGAAATTTTGGATTTCTGTTCCATTTTTAATACAGATTACGAATATGTATTTACCTCAATACCCCTAAACAAGTCAGCAGAAAAAATCAAAGTCGCATTAT